CTCTGGCAAATTCAACATGAGTACATTCATCAGCTTTACTCAAAGTCCTAAATTTCTGACGATATGCCTCAGGCACGAGTTCATATGCATGTAACACAGCAGATTTCACAACATCATACTCACCACTCTGTTCCAATGAGAGTGCTGAATAAACTTCCTGAGCTTTACCTGTGAACACACACTGTAATAATAAAGTCCAAAAGCTTTTCGGCCATTTCATGGATAAAGCAACACGTTCAAAGTGATAGAAATATTTATCCACTTCCTTTTCAGAAAATGGCGGCACTAACCTCATATTTCTGTGAACATCAAACACAGGTTCACCTGCATTCGCATGCTGTTGTGGAACAGGAGGCACATTCGCTTGTGAAGCTTCAGCTGTCTTTGCTGCTAATTCTAACTCCAACTTTTTTATCTCAAATGCTCTCTCGTCACGTTCCCTCTCTAACTGAAGCGTTCTCTCTTCTAAATCAAGCTCCATTCTTCGCATAGCTAACTGATGATTTAATTTTCTCTCTTCGAATTCTCTCTCTACCGCTCGCTCTTTCATAGCGCGATCATCACGTTCAGCACGAATTTTCGCGGCATCTAAACACAATTGCTTCTCTTGCAAAGACAATTCTGGAAATTTCGTCTCACTTTCACTATAAACCTCAGCAGGAGTAGACACAAACGATTCACTAGGAGTAATTAACTCAGTGCTTACCTCTATAACTCCTCTATCAACAAGTGACCGCTTCAGAGTAGTCACCATTGTTTCCTTCAGCCTCTTCTCTTGAGAAGTAAAATCGACACTGAAGCGTTCGGCGATTTGCACCAACTGCTCCTTTGTACAACTCTCAAGCAAAGCTTCTGATGGACACGCAAAGAAATCTTCTATCACCGAAGACATTTTGTTCGTATATGTATACGCACAATCACAAAACGAGACCACTAACTACCACACGTGAAACGCTGTTTACCCGAAATACAACTCCCATAAGCCACTACTTCAAAACACTACGTCACTGTATTACGCAACGCATGCTCATTCAAAAAACTTCTAAAGACTTCCCACAAGTCAAAACACAGTGTACGCGCGAAAATAAACCGCACTATACACAAAAGCGACAATTTATCCTCATTTATTTTTGCAAAATGGATTTACCATTTATAATATGAGAAAACTCCAGCTCCTAACTCAGAAAAACACTAACTAAATCCTACCTGGTCTTCAGAGATGTACCGGGCTCGAGGCGACATTAAACGCTGAACTCCGCGACAATCAGTCAAACTGAAAGTCCGGAAGCGTACCCCCTACAGAGAGTTAATCTCCACCCAGGATAACCTCCAAAAACAAAAAAGGCAAAATAACAAAACAAAACAACAAACAGTGCTCCGACGGAAGGATTGTATACACAATCCAGCTGGAAACACTCTAACTTACCAGAGTTCTCATTTATAAAGGTAACCATTCACAAAAACATACACACATACAACCCATACTTACCAACGTTTCCTACCCCCATAGGATCGCGGACGAGACACCCAATTTATGTTACGGCCAGCTCGTTTTGACCGCACATAAAGGGATACAAGTACAAGAAAATTACTTGCAAGAAGTTTTATTAGCTTACAAAAAGTGTAAATAACTTAAGTTAACAAAGTCTAGGGTTCACAATCATAAGGGGACAAAATCATAATCCAGATGGGGAATAAGAAAAGGTTGGTATGGTCTGTAAACAAATATAAATGTCGCAAAACAAGTGACTCCTCCAGAGGCTGCCAATCCCCTGGACGAAGTGGTGTGGAGAGGGTAGGATCCAAGGTTTTATCCTCTCCACAATCAAACCGAAAGCAGGTAACAGGAGTGTGCAATCTCCCACGCCCTCCTGAAGAACACCGCCCCCAGCAGGCGAGCAAGGGAAACGCAGGGTCGTAACACATGTAGAATTTGAAACTTACATTTAGGGTCTAACAACAAATTTACATTTTAGTCAGAGTCTTTGAGCTTGATGTGCTGGAACTCCTTGTCATGATTCTGCCTTAGTATTCTTGATTTTCCTAGTCGTGAGGCAGGATCATGACAGAATCATGTTTTATGTACAAGCGCATGGTCTGTTATTTGGACCATGTGCTTGTGTTGTCTCGTCTCGTTACCCCGCCCCCTTGTTATCCTCGTCTTGTGATTATTGTCTAGTCAGTTTCACCTGTCCTCGTCATTAGTGTTCCCTATTTAATCCTCTTGTATCTGCTGTCTTTTGTCGGTTCATTGTGATTGTTACCTGAGTGTTAATCCTTGTCAAACCTTTGTCAGAGTCTGTGAGTATCTTGTCAAGAGTTTTAGTCCTGTTGCGCTATTGCCTGTAAAGGTTATTTGTGTCCCTATAGTTATCTGTCTCAGTCTAGTTAGTCTTCATAGTCCTGTCTTGTTTTGCCCCCTCGTGGGCTTTGTTTTCCCTTTTTGTTCATAATAAACCGTGTGCTGTGACTACTGTCTGCGATTGGGTTCATTCCCTTCTTCACCCTTCCAACATCATAACAGAATGAACCGACCAAGAACGAACCCAGCAGACAGTATGTCCTCCCGACCCCGGCTACAACCGGAACAATGGTGGTTATCGGCTCCCATCGATGAAGAGAGGGTAGATTGTCCAGTCCCATCCCAGGGTGAGTGGATCCTGAAGAATTATGCCCGACTCTGGGATCATTACTCCCGGGAGGGTCCGCTGTCTTCTTCCTCGGGGTCTCCACCCTCTGCCTGTCTGCCAGTGATCCCGGAGGGTCGTGTTTTGGCCGTCATCTCTCAAGGGGATCATGCTCTCTCCGTTTCTTCTCCCGAGGTTTCATCCACACCCGCAAGTCTCCGTGGAAAACGAGGGAGACGGATTTCCTGGGAGTCTGCTTCGGAGTCTTCAGCGACGGAGTCTTCCCTGCCTGAGACAGCCCTCCCACTTCCAGTCATGGACCCTGCTGCGCTTCTCCTGCCGATCACCAGTCCAGCTGTGACATCAGCTCCGCGTCCCAGAAGGAAGAGGAGGAGGAAGGGACCCTCTTGTCCTCCGTCTCTGTCTTCCCATGAGCCCGCTCCAGCAAGCGCCGTCCATGAGCCCGCTCCAGCAAGCGCCCCCCTAGAGGCCGCTCCAGCAAGCGCTGTCCCAGAGCCCGCCTCAGCAAGCGCTGTCCCAGAGCCCGCCTCAGCAAGCGCTGTCCCAGAGCCCGCTGAGAGAGTTGCGGCCGATCTTGCCGCTAAGGAGGTTCTGCGAGCAGTTTCAGCTCGTCAGGAGATGCCCGTCATCATTGCGGCCAAGACCCTTTCCGATTACCTGTCTCGTCTCGTCGCTATTCTTGAACCCCCTGTCTGTCCTGCCTTGTCCTCAGCTCCCAAGCCTGTCTCTGTGAGCGCTGCACCTGATCCTATCCCTGTGAGCGCTGCACCCGAGCCTGCCACTGTTATTGCTGCACCCTGTCCTGCCCCTTTGCCTGCTATGTCTCACGTCAGGAGTCCCGGTTCCGCATCCTCTGTGTCCTCGTCTGAATCTGTTGCTGCTAATTCCCGGTCTGTTTCCCCGTTCGTCCCTGTCTCCACCAGCCCCCGGACTGTTTCCCCATCTGTCCCTGTTTCCACTAGCCCCCGGACTGTTTCCCCGTTTGTCCCTGTCTCCACTAGTCCCCGGACTGTTTCACCGTTCGTTCCTGTCTCCACTTGTCCCCGGACTGTTTCTCCCAAGACCTCTACTCATGTGTCCCCGTCCAAGCCTGCCCGGAGTTCTCGTCCTCAGCCCTCCTCCCGTGGACCCAAGACCCCCAGTCCTCCCATCCACCCTGGACCTCCCCCCATGAACTCTGTGTTTCCTCCACCTCCTTTGCCTTGTATGTTGTTTTTGATTTTTCACCCGAACCCTGTTATTGTTTATTCCTGTTTGCCATTGTTAGTGTTTTCCATGTTTTGTTGGTTCGTGTCTTTGTCACAGTCTGTCATGTCCCGTGTTTAATGTCCCCTTGAGGAGCGTCTGGTAGCCGCTCCTTAAGGTGGGGGTTCTGTCATGATTCTGCCTTAGTATTCTTGATTTTCCTAGTCGTGAGGCAGGATCATGACAGAATCATGTTTTATGTACAAGCGCATGGTCTGTTATTTGGACCATGTGCTTGTGTTGTCTCGTCTCGATACCCCGCCCCCTTGTTATCCTCGTCTTGTGATTATTGTCTAGTCAGTTTCACCTGTCCTCGTCATTAGTGTTCCCTATTTAATCCTCTTGTATCTGCTGTCTTTTGTCGGTTCATTGTGATTGTTACCTGAGTGTTAATCCTTGTCAAACCTTTGTCAGAGTCTGTGAGTATCTTGTCAAGAGTTTTAGTCCTGTTGCGCTATTGCCTGTAAAGGTTATTTGTGTCCCTATAGTTATCTGTCTCAGTCTAGTTAGTCTTCATAGTCCTGTCTTGTTTTGCCCCCTCGTGGGCTTTGTTTTCCCGGTTATTTGTTTAATAAATCGTGTTGCCTTGACTACTGTCTGCTATTGGGTTCATCCTTCCTCATCCTCATAACACTCCTTCTGTAAAGTTAAACAGAAACTGACTCGCTCTCAGGACAAGGATTAAAGCACAATGGAAAAACTTACATGACTTTTACAGATAAGGATATAACCCAGGGATAGGCAGTGTCGGTCCTGGAGAGCCTCAGTCCTGCAGAGGTTTGCTCCAACCCTGATTTAAAACTCTCCTGCCTGTATGTTTCTAGTAACCCTTCAGACCTTGATTAGCTGGTTCTGGTGTGTTTGATGAGGGTTGGAGCAAAACTGTGGCTCTCCAGGACCAACGTTGGCCACCCCTAATATAACCGTTAAATTCAATGTCAGTCATGCAATGGGAAAAACGGAAAACTGTATTAAACTGTGCGCTTATGAGTTTATTTGAAGCTCTTAATGTGAAGCAGTTTCATGTTTAGGACAGCTTGGCTTGTGTGCTCACCATGTGATTGGTTGTCTCTCATTTGAAAATTCACGTTTTAATGTTTCTTTTAGACGTGAACAAGAATGGAAAAACTGAAGCCAAAAAATCTGTCTCCTGCCCTCAGTAAAAAACACTTCACATGTAAATCAAGTCTGAAGATTCACGTGAGAGTTCACACTGGGAAGAAGCGGCTCAAGCTTTTGCTCTGAAATCACATCAGCTTCTCATTCTGAAGAAAGAGCATTTAACTGTGATCAGTGCGGGAAACAGTTTCATTGGGCTTCATTTCCATAATGACCAAAGCAATCTGTCAGTTAGCGTCTGGTTTAAGACCTGCTTTTTTTGGGGTGGTAAATAATGGCGCAAACACCAGAACATTGACAAGCACAAACCATAGTAAATCACCTTGCCTGATTCATTTAAATACTCTCCTCCCATAATTGTTGCGTCTGAAAGGGAAACTCCTACAAATGCATATGCAATAAGGTCAGCCGCAAAAATAACTGTGTCCAAGCCCTTTCAGCGCTAATTTTTCACTGTTTGTCTTCAGTAAATCCTGACAGTAGTTTTTTAATGGCAGAAGAGGGTTTGTGCTGGCACAAGCTGTTAGTTAATCTGGCCCTTAGTTTCTATTTTACTTCTACTCTTTCATGCAAATGCAAGATATACTTTCATAGCTTTGAAATGGGAGACTTCTCTTGGTTCTTATAAGTCAGTAAGGAAAGAGATCCGTCTCATTCGCTTTTACTTTTACTTAATGTTTGTATTTGCTTCAATGATTGATTAAATGAATTTGATCAACAATTCATTGTTATTGTCCATTTTTATTTTATTCTCATTCTGCTTGGATCAGGAATAATTTTAGTCATGAAGTATCATATTATGGTGGCTTTTTAAACCTTCATGTTGTCAATTTATAAATAGAGCTTTTAAATACCTAATAAAATATATTTAACCACACACATGAGAGACATTGAATGAGATTGCTGTCTGTCTAAATTATTAAAGGGATAGTTCACCCCAAAATATATATTAGCCCATGATTTACTCACCCTCAAGTCATCATAGGTGTATATAACATTCTTCTTTCAGGTGAATACAATCGGAGGTATAATAAAACATATTTTATCCGGTAAAACATTTATGTAGCCTTTGCAATCATTTAAGATCATTATTTTATCATGTATTTTATTATTTTCTTTATTTTTACCCCCTAAAGGTAATTTTTACGCTAGATCAAAACATTGCACAAACCATAAGGCGAAACCTATCCTGTTTGGTATCGTTGGACTCGACAAGGATTCAGGAATCTAAGGTGTCGTGTCATGTGACACACAGGGATGTGTACTTCCATTTTTAAACCCCCTGGACGAAGAGCAAAAGGTACCAAACAGGCTTGAGATTAACATGGACGATTTGCTTGTAGTCAGTCTTCAAAAGAAACGAAACAAAGAAGAGAAGAAAGAAGCCAAGAAAAGAAGACAGAAGATGGGAAGGTCCTTATCAAGAGACAACCATCTCCAAAGCAAGAGAGATGATTTGAATAATTAGACAACAAGAGCGATTAAATAAAATATTGATGAAACTTTTAAAACAGTCAATTGGGGGGAAACATTTTGAGGAAAGTTATTTGAAATATAAAGTGGACAAACTGGCAGAGGGCGTGGAACTCGACACCGCCTGTTGAGTGTGTTTCTGTTAAGGAAATAAGTCTGATGTGTAACTCATATATGAGTTTTAAACGGTTCGAAGCCGAACCTTGTGGTGAAGACTACTCCTATTTTTTATGTTGATTTTCATTCTTTACTTTGTTATTAAAACGAAAAAAATTGAATGTGGTAATTCATAAACTTCTCTAATAAAAAAACTATTATCTGTACCTGGATAATAATCCCATCGAGCCTCAAGAGCACCCGAATCCAGACTGAGTTTGGCACGGACTCCCCCTGAAATTTCTGTAACTATATGCTAATGCCTTCATAAAATGCAGTATTTTACCACGAAATTCCAAATGGCCGAAGCCCATCCTGCATGTGCGTTTGAGGGTTCGAAGTATCAAGTACAGAGTCCTACCCTTCGAGTGCTCCATAGCCAGTTGAGTCTTCAGGTCAACTGGGAAAGAGTAATGTCGCCCATGGGCTGAGTATCTCTTTTTCAGTATGGAGATAGACTCGATCCAACATGCCTCTTCAAGAAGACAACGTGTTTGGTCAGTGCTAGACAGAAGTGAGAAAGGGTCCCACTGAAAAAATTTCAGAGGCTCCTGGAGCATATGGCAGATGCAGCCGCATGGCTTCCTCCATATGGAGACTACTTCAGGACTGGCTTAAGGTCGAGTCCCAAGGTGACTGTGGTAGAGCGGCATGCCCGGTGTGACAACAGATCACCCCGGCCTGCCGCCAAACCCTCAGTCCGTAATCAGTCCTTTTGTTTCTCCGGGAAAACAGCCCCGAGAACGAGGTCCATTAACACCGGCTGAGGGGCCACGTACAAAGGGCATGCTTTAACGGAGGCCTGGGCGACCGTTGTGCTGAGCTTCCCTCGCATGTCACAACTCACCCATCACCTCCTCCTTGGAGTCAGAAGCTTCTGAGGTCGCTTCATTCCACTATTTCTTTCGGCCTGCTCAAATCGTGCCGCCGCCGAGCCTCGACAGCTATGGCCAGGTAGAGTGGCGACTCCATCTCCAGGCGTCCAGAAGCGGACGCAGAAACACATAACCCCAGTGAGCCTTCTAAAAAGCGACTAGACAATTCATTATTGCTTGGCGTCCACTAAAGTTCAGTGATTCTCATCACACCCAGGTGTTGAGCAGAGATTCTCCTGAAGCTCAGTGATCTTCACACCGGGCATAGTGTCGCATGGCACTAAAACTATGAAATCTTCTGATAAATGCCTCACATTACCTTTTATCAATGATTTATGTATCTCAGAACAGACTGATCAGACTGATAAAATTGAAATATTTATGGACGATCTTTTAGTTGACCGACTCCAAAAGGACCACGCTAGAAAACTGCATGAAGCCAGAAGAAAAGAGAAGAAGAAGAAAGAAGAAGCAATTGATAATGCAGAGAAAAGATCTCATCTGTCAGATGACAAAGACCATCAAACAGATGGAAAAGCTTAATAAACGATTGTTGTGTACCGCAAATACGTTAATAAGGGAAAAACAATTTACATGTCCTAATTGTGAAATGTCAAACTTGCAGAAGAAGCTTGCATTGTTGAATGCATAATGCAAGCTTCCTCTGCCAACTGAAATGTTACTATTTCCTTTGTTCTTTCTGCATAAGCATTAAAGGGGGTTAAGCAGGTGTTGAAACTACGCCTGTGCCTGGTCCTGTAACCTTTAACATAGAAGAGACCAGGGCTTCTGAGAGGCCATTGAGAGGCCAGGGGCAGGATGTGGTTTTAACACCTGTAGGTGAAATAACGGGTAAATGTTTAGTAAGCTTGTTGAGCATAGATTCTAGAGTAGTAGGCATCTTTGTGTGTGGAACAAGAACTGTGAAAGTTTCCTGATAAGGAATTGTTTCTTCAAGGGGACTGCCCCCAAACTCTTAAAGACGGCCCCAATTAAACCATATAAATGTTTGGTTTTCCTGTCTTTCGGGGCCGCATTCCGAGGTGAAGACCTATACGCTTTTCTGTTATTTTTATTTTTTGAATTTATTGTCTTTGTATTATTCTGAACATTTTTGAGTAAAACGAAACCATAATTTTTGGTGATTCGAAAACCTTTCTAAATAAGTCTCAGAGTGATTTCTCCTGAATATATCTTGACTTAAACAGTTAAATAATTTTACTAAGCAAAAGCCCAGTGAAACGGATCCTAGACTGAGCTGGATGGGACACCGCCGAGGACCCTATCACAACTTCAACTGCCCTTTAGAGCATCGGGTGAGTAATATATAATATAAATATGTGATATATGGGTTGAGAAGTTCTGGTATAGGAGTTACAGCGGTATAAAAATACAACAAATAGTAATGCTTTATCTGCTTTAATCGCCGAGCTATTACACAATGTTAAATGTATACAATTGAGTTACGTCAGCTTCAGATCGCAAATGGACGCTGGCGAGTGTATAACGTGGAAAGAGGTTGGCGCAACGGGGTAATATTGTGATCAAGTTGTCCCATATGTTTCCAGGGTCAATAAATACAGTCGTTTTCAAGCCATCCTGCTATCTGTGGTGGAATTCCTTATGTACAGAACTGGATCTGCTACACTAGCATGATGACTAATTAGCGATTAGCAAGCTAATAATATAATACACATTCATTCATGAATATGAGTGTGATTTTTTTAATGTTTAATCTTCAGTGATGCTGAACTTGCTCAGCCAGCTACCTCATCGAGTTGTGTGTGTCATCATCTTACCCAAACATTGGAGTGTCCATGTTCAACTTAGAGCTTAGATTGGGCCCAAAAATCAAGACCGACCCTACCCGAGCCCGTTGTGTCCCGGCCCGACACATTAAAGGAGAACTCTGGCGCAAAATGAACCTTTGGTCTAATAAAACATTGATACCTGTCAACCGTTCTCTGAGATATATATTCTTCCCGTCTCATCCGCAAAGCGACCACAATTGCGAGCGATGAAAGTCATCCAGCTCACAATTTGTTCAACCTCCTGCCATCTGGGAAGAGGTACAGAAGCCTCCACTCCCGCACTACCAGACTCAACAACAGTTTCTTCCACCAGGCTGTTAGGATGCTGAACTCTCTCAACCACCAGGCCGTCAAGAAGATGAGATGACATACCCCACCCCCAGGTCGTTAAGAAGATGACCCCCCCCCCCCCCCCCCCCCCCTCCATGATGTTCTTGCACTACCATGTCATTTGCACACTTGATGCTGCTATGACTGAACTGTCCTTGCACTACAATGCCATTTGCACACTTCATATGCTGCTTTCGATGAACTGTCTTTGCACTACCATGTCATTTGCACACTTCTGATGTTTGCTATGACCGAAACTGTCTTGCACTATCATGTCACTTGCAGATTTAATTTTAAATGTCTATTTATTGATGCCCATACATAGTGATAGTATAGGTTTAACTACATGTTTAATTACTTTTTTTTTCTTTTCTTTTTTCTCTCTGTCTTCACCGTGGGATGGAGGGAAACGTAATTTCGATTATAGTCGTAGTCATAGTCAGCTTTATTGTCGATTCTTCACATGCTCCAGACATACAAATGAGATTTGTTTTCATGATAATCGAATGTAAAGAGTTTTATCTCTAAAAACTGTTTAGCGTATAACGCTAGTAATGGGGGGATCTATTCGTGGTTTGACTAGTCGAGACTGTTTTCCAAAGATGGCTCCTGTCTGTATACACGAAGTGGAATGTCTTCATAAAATATCTTCTTATTAAACGGTCTGTACACTTACAAAGTTCTCAATGCTTCGTTTTGCATGTAGGGACCCTCATTATGTTACTGTGTTAGTGTGGGGCTATTTTGAGTCTTGTTAGTGGTATAAACTAGCGATTTCTTTTTACTTATTAAATGCCCCCATTACTAGCGTTATACGCTAAACAGTTTTTAGAGATAAAACTCTTTACATTCGATTATCATGA